ATTTCTTTAGTTTGTCTGATTCCACAGCAAGCTGGCTTCAGGAAAGGCAAAAGCTGCACATCGCAAGTGCTGAACCTGACTCAGCACATAGAAGATGGCTTTGAAAGGCAGCAGATCACAGGAGCTGTCTTCATAGACCTGTCAGCAGCCTATGATACTGTAAACCACCGCCTCCTCCTGAGAAAAATGTATAATATCACAAAGGACTACCACCTCACCCGCCTCATAGGAAACCTGCTACAAAACAGGAGCTTTTTTGTTGAGTTCCAGGACCAGAGAAGCAGATGACTGAAACAGAAGAATGGCCTGCCTAAGGGGAGTGTGCTTGCTCCATCCATGTTCAACATTTACACAAATGACCAGCCACTGCCAGAAGGGACAGAGAGTTTCATCTATGCAGATGATCATGCCATTACTGCTCAAGCAGGGAGCTTTGAGATGGTTGAACAGAAGCTCTCCGAAGCTCTAGGTGCTCTTACTGCCTATTACAGGGAAACCAGCTGATCCCTAATCCATCTAAAACACGGACATGTGTTTTTCACCTTAAGAACAAACAAGCATCCTGAGCTCTGAGGATTACCTGGGAAGGAATCCCACTGGAACATGGCAGCACACCCAAATACCTGGGAGTCACTCTGGACCGTGCTCTGACCTACAAGAAGCACTGCCTGAACATCAAGCAAAAAGTGGGCGCTAGAAATAATATCATACAAAATCTGACTGGCACAACCTGGGGATCACAACCAGACACAGTGAAGACATCTGCCCTTGCGCTGTGCTACTCTGCTGCTGAGTATGCATGCCCAGTTTGGAACACATCTCACCACGCTAAAACAGTAGATGTGGCTCTTAATGAGACATGCCGCATTATCACGGGGTGTCTGTGTCCTACACCACTGGAGAAATTACACTGTCTAGCCGGTATTGCACCACCTGACATCCGCCGGGAAGTAGCAGCCAATAGTGAAAGGACCAAGGCCGTGACATCTCCAGCCCATCCCTTGTTTGGGTATCAGCCAGCATGTCAACGACTTAAATCAAGAAATAGTTTTCTAAGATCTACAGAGACACTCGCTGGAACACCTCAGCAAGCAAGAGTCCAAAAGTGGCAGGCTCAAACCCAGAACCTCAATCAATGGCTGATACCAAATGAGAGACTCCCCCTGGGCACACAGAAGACTGGGCGACTTGGAAGGCGCTGAACAGACTGCGCTCTGGCACCACGAGATGCAGAGCCAACCTTAAGAAATGGGGCTACAAAGTGGAATCCACGACATGCGAGTGTGGAGAAGAGCAAACTACAGACCACCTGCTGCAATGCAACCTGAGCCCTGCCTCATGCACAATGGAGGACCTTCTTGCAGCAACACCAGAGGCACTCCAAGTGGCCAGATACTGGTCAAAGGACATTTAATCAACTACCAAGCTTGCAAACGTTGTGTTTTGTTTGTTTGCTAAAAAATGTAATGCAACTTTTTGGTTTGCTCCTGACACGATAAATAAATAGTCTGTCCCATTGTTCAGAAGATTTCAGTTCACTTTCTGTCCCCGTGACAATTGAAAATTTTGGCTTGTTGTAGGAACAAAGATTGGTAATAAAGCTTCAGTGGAGATACTTTTTTTCCCTATGATAACTCTTCCAGTTATCACTATGGAGCCCCCGGTGGTGCAGTGGGTTAAACCGCTGAGCTGCTAAACTTGCTAACTGAAAGGTCGCAGGTTCGAATCCGGGGAATGGTGTGAACTTCCGCTGTTAGCCCCAGCTTCTGCCCACCTAGCAGTTTGAAAACATGCAATTGGGTTTATATATCTGTGGAATGACCAGGGTGGGACAAATAACTCTTGTCTGCTGGAGCTAGATGTGAATGTTTCAACTGGTCACCTTGATTAGGATTTGATGGCCTGGCAGTTTTTTGGTGTGGCTTGTTAGTGCCTGGGGCAATCTTTTGTTGAGAGGTGATTCGCTGTCCCTGATTGTTTCCTCTCTGGAGTTTCCCTGTGTTTGAGTTTTGTTTTTTATTTACTGTTATAATTTCAGAATTTTTTTAATACTGGTAGCCAGATACCGTTTTTTCAAGAGAAGCCATTGAAATACATAAGGATGTGGACAATTTCAACAGAAAGGAGGAAACCATGGACATTCCACATATATATAAACCCAATTTTCCTAGTTCCAAGAGACCTCACAACCTCTGAGGATGCTTGCCATAGATGCAGGCAAAACGTCAGAATGCCTCTAGAACAGTGGTTTTCAAACTGTGGGTCCCCCAGATATTTTGGCCTTCAACTCCCAGAAGTCCTAACAGCTGGTAAACTGACTGGGATTTCTGGGAGTTGTAGGCCAAAACACCTGGGGACCCACAGGTTGAGAAGCATTGCTCTAGAACATGGCCATGTAGCCCGAAAAAACCTACAACCCAGTGATTCCAGCCATGAAAGCCTTCGACAATACATTGTTTTTTTCTTTTTTTTTTTTACACAGTTTCTCAAGCTTTTTATAGCTTTCTTCTTCTTTTTTTCTCTCTTTTTTCAATTTTAGTTTTTTACCCAGCTCTATTTCTCTACTTTTCTATAATCATATAATGTAAAGAAAATTTCAATAAAGATAATTTTAAAAAAAACCCAGGCAAAAGCTAAATGTATGTTCCTGGGCAATAAACAAATGTTTCAAAAGCACATATCTGGCATGTAGTTAGAATCATAGAGTTGGAAGAGACCTCATGGGCCATCCAGTCCAACCCCCTGCCAAGAAGCAGGAAAATTGCATTCAAAGCACCCCCAACAGATGGCCATCCAGCCTCTGTTTAAAAGCTTCCAAAGAAGGAGCCTCCACCACACTCTGGGGCCGAGAGTTTATTTACTGTATTTGTATACCGCCTTTCTCAGCCAATTGGCGACTCAAGGCGGTTTCCAACAAATCAGTACATATAAAAACATAATACAGATTTAAACATTAAGCAATATAAAACACTACAAAAGCTATAAAAACAACATCATTAGCATCTCATTATTATAAAGCATTGGCCAGTTCCATTGTCAAATTGTTCGATTTCCTATATTAGCTACTCTGCATTTGTAAACACTTGCTCGAACAGCCATGTTTTAACTTGCCTCCGAAATGTTAAGAGGGAGGGAGCAGATCTGATCTCCCTAAGGAGGATGTTCCATTGCCAAGGGGCCACGACTGAGAAGGCCCTGTATCTCGTCCCTGCCAAACGTACTTGAGACGAAGGCGGGACCGAGAGCAGGGCCTCCCCAGACAATCTTAGAGTCCTCGATGGTTCGTAAGGGGAGACATGTTCGGACAGGTAAGTTGGGCCAGAACCGTTTAGGGCTTTATAGGCCAAAGCCAGCACTGTTCTCTTCAGTTTAGATGGAAGAACTTGTGAGCCCGCCTTGCACTTTAGGCAACCAGGATTCAAGCCACCATTTTGATCCCAAAAGCCTCCAGAATGACCTTGGACAGGATGCACTCTCTCAGTCTCATAGAATCAAAGAGTTGGAAGAGACCTCATGGGCCATCCAGTCCAACCTCCTGCCAAGAAGTAGGAATATTGCAATCAAAGCACCCATGACAGATGGCCATCCAGCCGCTTCCAAAGAAGGAGCCTCCACCACACCGCAGAGAGTTCCACTGCTGAACGGCTCTCACAGTCAGGAAGTTCTTCCTCATGTTCAGATGGAATCTCCTTTCTTGTAGTTTGAAGCCATTGTTCCGCGTCCTAGTCTCCAGGGAAGCAGAAAACAAGCCTGCTCCCTCCTCCCTGTGGCTTCCTCTCACATATTTATACATGGCTATCATATCTCCTCTCAGCCTTCTCTTCTTCAGGCTAAACATGCCCAGTTCCCTAAGCCGCTCCTCATAGGGCTTGTTCTCCAGACCCTTGATCATTTTAGTCGCCCTCCTCTGGACACATTCCAGCATGTCAACATCTCCCTTCAATTGTGGTGCCCAGAACTGGACGCAATATTCCAGGTGTGGAATATGATAAGACCCTGGAAGACTGGGGGGCTTCTCAGGGCCCTTCCACACAGCTGTATTAAATCCAGACTGTCTGCTTTGAACTGGAATATCTGGCAGTGTAGGAGGAAGACCTCAGGCTAAACATGCCCAGCTCTTTAAGCCGCTCCTCATAGGGCGTGTTCTCCAGACCCTTGATCATTTTAGTCGCCCTCCTCTGGACGCATTCCAGCATGTCAAACATCTCCCTTCAATTGTGGTGCCCCGAACTGGACGCAATATTCCAGGTGTGGAATATGATAACACCCTGGAAGACTGGGGGGCTTCTCAGGGCCCTTCCACACAGCTGTATTAAATCCAGACTGTCTGCTTTGAACTGGAATATCTGGCAGGGTAGGAGGAAGACCTCAGGCTAAACATGCCCAGCTCCTTAAGCCGCTCCTCATAGGACTCTTGATAGTTTTAGTCGGCCTCCTCTGGACACATTCCAGCATGTCAAACATCTCCCTTCAATTGTGGTGCCCAGAATTGGACGCAATATTCCAGGTGTGGAATATGATAACACCCTGGAAGACTGAGGGGCTTCTCGGGGCCCTTCCACATAGCTGTCTGCTTTGAACTGGAATATCTGTCAGTGTAGGAGGAAGACCTCAGGCTAAACATGCCCAGCTCTTTAAGCCGCTCCTCATAGGGCTTGTTCTCAAGACCCTTGATTATTTTAGCCGCCCTCCTCTGGACACATTAACTCAGGAACAACTCCCCAGCTGCACTGACGTGGAAGAAAGAGCCTAGTGAATAGCCCCGCCTTCTTCTCAATCTCCCTCTGGCCAATCACAAGGCGTGATGTGGCCTCGCGGAGGCGGCGGCCCCGCCCACTGAGTGCCTTTTGTCCTGAGGTAGCTCTCCGCCTCAGAGTGTGTTTGCCTTTCCAGCTGAGTGGCACGCTGTGATTGGTGGGCTCTCTGACCGGCCAATCAGAAAAACGCACCTCAGAGCCAGCGTGAAGTTTAATAATTAGAAACCCCGCCCACGTTGCACACACACCCCTCGCATTCTAACAGGGAAAGAGGGTTAGTGAAGCAACTGCACCTGGGAAGGCAGCGAGGAGGCGCGCGCCCGGCGTTCTCCCTCAGCCCCGTTGCCTTTGATTGGCTGCTTTCCCTCCGCTCTCCGAGTCCCGTTCCTCTCCCATCCAATCAGAAGGAAGGACTTCCTGGAATCTCGCCTGCTGGGAAAGAAGGGAGTGAAGAAGGCACCAAAAAGGAAGGGCGAGGGGAAAGCTTGGGAGGAAAAGATGAATATGAGGCGAGTGTGCCTGCTGACGCTTCTCCTGGCGCAGCTGGTTCTTGTAGCGAAGTGCCAGAAGGAAGAGGAAGGGAAGGAGGAGGAAGCTCAAGGGGAAGGTAAGGGTATTGGACTGCAGGGCTTTTAAACAGAGGCTGGATGGCCATCTGCCAGGGGTGCTTTCATTGTGCTTTTCCTGCATGGCAAGGGGTTGGACTCGGCGGTGACCAGAGGAGCATTCGCACAATTGAAGCTTGTGCGCCAGCTGCGCCCTTACCTTGGGAAGTCTGACTTGGCCACGGTAGTCCACGCTCTCGTTACAGCCTGTATAGACTACTGCAACTCTCTCTACCTAGGGTTGCCTCTGAAGACTGTCCAGAAGCTTCAACTGGTCCAACAGACAGCAGCCAGATTGCTAACTGGAGCGGTTCTCAGGGAGCGTACAACCCCCCTGTTGCGCCAGCTCCACTGGTTGCCAGTTTGCTACCGGGCACAATTCAAAGTACTGGTTTTAACCTTTAAAGCCCTAAATGGTTCTGGCCCAACCTACCTGTTCAAACGTATCTCCCCTTATGAACCATCTAGAACCTTGAGATCGTCCGGAGAGCCTCTGCTGTCACCTTCGTCCCAGGTATGTTGGCGGGGACGAGAGACAGGGCCTTTTCAGCAGTGGCCCCCCGGCCATGGAAAGCCCTCCCTAGAGAGATGAGATCTGCTCCTTCCCTCTTAACGTTTTGGAAGCAAGTCAAAACGTGGCTGTTTGAGCAAGCATTCACAAACACAGAGTAACGGATATGGATAAATGATATAGGACAGTGTTTCTCAACCTGGGGGTCGGGACCCCTCGGGGGGTCGCGAGGGGGTGTCAGAGGGGTCACCAAAGATCATCAGAAAACATAGTATTTTCTCTTTGTCATTGGCATTCTGCGTGTGAAGTTTGGTCCAATTCTATCTTTGGTGGGGTTCAGAATGCTATTTCATTGTGGATGAACTATGAATCCCAGCAACTACAACTCCCAAATGGCAAGGTCTATTTTCTCCAAACTCTACCAGTGTTCACATTTGGGTATATTGATCATCTGTGCCAAGTTTGGTCCAGATCCACCATTGTTTGAGTCCACAGTGTTCTATGGATATAGGTGAACTACAACTCCAAAAACTCGAGGTCAGTGTCCACCAGACTCTCCCAGTATTTCTCTTGGCCATGGGAATTCTGTGTGCCAAATTTGATTCAATTCCATCATTGAGGGAGTTCAAAAGGCTCTTTGATTTTAGGTGAACTATAAATCCCAGCAATTCCAACATTCCCAAATGACAAAAACCAATCCCCTCCAACCCCACCAGTATTCGAATTCGGGCGTTTCGGGTATTTGTACCAAATTTGGTCCAGTGAATGAAAATACATCCTGCATATCAGATATTTATATTACGATTCACAACAGTAGCAAAATTAAAGAAGTAGCAATGAAAATAACATTATGGTTGGGGGTCACCACAACGTGGGAACCTGTACTAAAGGGTCACGGCATTAGGAAGATTGAGAACCACTGCCCTAAACGGTTCTGGCCCAACTTACCTGTTCGAACGTATCTCCCCTTATGAACCATCTAGAACCTTGAGATCGTCCGGAGAGCCTCTACTCTCGGTCCCGCCTTCATCACAGGTACATTGGCGGGGACGAGAGACAGGGCCTTTTCAGCAGTGGCCCTCCGGCTATGGAAAGCCCTCCCTAGAGAGATTAGATCTGCTCCTTCCCTCTTAACGTTTCAGAAACAAGTCAAAACGTGGCTGTTTGAGCAAGCGTTCACAAACACAGAGTAATGGCTATGGATAATTGATATAGGATGTTGATGATTGACGATGGAATCGGACAATGCTTGACAATAAGGAGACGCCAATGAAGTTGCTTTTTATTGCTGTTGTGGTTTATGTAATTGTAATGTTTTTAAATTGTATTGTGATATTATGTATACTGTTTTGTTGGAAACCGCCTTGAGTCGCCGATAGGCTGAGAAAGGCGGTATACAAATACAGTAAATAAATAAATTGGACTAGATCAGTGTTTCTCAACCTTCCTAATGCTGTGACCCCTTAATACAGTTCGACATATTGTGGTGACCCCCAACCATAACATTATTGTCATTGCTACGTCATAACTGTAACTTTGCTACTGTTATGAATCATAATGTAAATATCTGATATGCAGGATGTATAGGTTCATTCACTGGACCAAATTTGACACAAATACCCGATATGTCCAAATTTGAATACTGCTGGGGTTAGGGCGGGTTGATTTTGTCATTTGGAAGTTGTAGTTGCTGGGGTTTATAGTTCACCTACGATCAAAGGGCATTCTGAACTCCACCATCGGTGGGATTTAACCAAACTTGGCACACAAAACTCCCATGACAAACAGAAAATACTGGAAGGGTTTGGCGGGCATTGCTAATTGCTTGCTAATTGCATCCTTCACACTAGTTCAACAGACAGTGGTTCTTTCCTTCCACCCTGGACATTCCACAGGTATATAAACTCCTATTTGCTTGACTACCATTAGATCCTATGAAGATGCCAGCCACGGATATAGGCGAAATGTCAGGAGAAAATGCTGCTAGTACATGGCCATATAACCACATAAGATCCCAAAGAGATGATTAATTTAATATTTAGTTTAGCCTGTCTACGGAACTTTGGATCAAAGCCAGCTTTAAATGGAAATATTTGTACCTGGTCTGAATCATTTATTTCTGAGTTAGTTCATTGTTGTACAAACACTTTTAAAAGAAGTTAGCGAGTTATGATAGGACAGATCTACTAGATATCAGCACTTTGAGTTCTGGAAAAGATATCTATGCCATTACTTTTCAGTATAGGTTGTGTTTATAGTGAAGATTTTTTACTTTCCCCTTCATGTAACACATACTACAAGCTTTAATTTAAAATTCATTGTTGTCTTTATTTCTGCCATGTAATACATCTCCGCATCACCATCTCTGGTTTAGCGCAGGACTGACGAAAATGCAATCATAGAATCATAGAGTTGGAAAAGACCTCATGGGCCATCCAGTCCAAACCCCTGCCAAGAAGCAGGAAAATTGCATCCAAAGCACCCCCGACAGATGGCCATCCAGCCTCGGTTTAAAAGCTTCCAAAGAAAGAACCTTTACCACACTCCGGGGCAGAGAGTTCCACTGCTGAACAGCTCTCACAGTCAGGAAGTTCTTCCTAATGTTCAGATGGAATCTCCTTTCTTGTAGTTTGAAGCCATTGTTTCACGTCCTAGTCTCCAAATACTCCAAAATTTGATGGATTATCACTACACTAGACCGTGGCTCCTTCTACACTGCCACATAAAATCCAGATTATCTGCTTGGAACTGGATTATATGGCAGTGTAGACTCATATAATCCAATTCAAAGCAAATCATAGAATAATAGAATCACAGAGTTGAAATGGTGTGGATTATCTGCATTGATCATCTGGATATGGCAGTGTAGAAAGGGCCCTAGTCAACATAGCAGTTTTCACTTTTCTCTAGTCTCTAGCGGTTGTTTTCACCACTAGGAACCGCATTGTAATATCTCAGTGTATCACAAATATGTATTGCTTTTTTTTTTTTTTTACTATGACTGGTCTTTTAAGACAAAGTCTACTCATTGTCATGATAATAATAGTCTGCTTGGAGCTTTACAAGCTTACACTTTTGTTATTTTGTTCCAATCAGACCAGCAGGCAGAAAGCATGCTAGAAATCTCATAGTAGCTTTTGTTATTGTTGCGTTAGGAGCGATTTGAGAAACTGCAAGTCGCTTCTGGTGTGAGAGAATTGGCCTTCTGCAAGGATGTTGCCCATGGGATGCTCGGATGTTTTGATGTTTTACCACCCTTGTGGGAGGCTTCTCTCATGCCCCTGCATGGAGAGCTGGAGCTGACAGAGGGGGCTCATCCACACTCTCCCCAGATTCAAATCTGCGACCTGTCGGTCTTCACTCCTGCCAACACAGGGGTTTGTGCAAGTAACGTGTTTAAGAGTAGCACTGTTTTTTGTGCATCATAAAAAAAGAGTAAAGGAGAGAGGAGGTGAGGAAAAGGGAATTCTCCCAACACTTTAAAAACTATATTGGAAACTAGCTGTCCCCTGCCACACGTTGCTGTGGCCCAGTCTCGTGAGCTGGAAAAGAAAGTAATGGTTTCTAATCTATGTAATTTCTTTATACTTGTGGGTAAACAATATTTCTTGTTTCTTTGTCAGTGTTGATGTGGAGAGTGTCTGGTTTGCATACTCTGGATTATGCAACATATCACTGTCCTTCTTTAGGGTTCCCTTTCAAATCTATGATACTATATCTGTGCGTGTGTGAATCATATCTATCTATCTATATCTATGGCTGGATGGCTCTTTGTCAGGAAGGCTTTGATTACATTTTCTTGCCCTGATGAAGGGAGTTGGAATGGATGGCCTTAAGTATTTTCTGTTGGTCATGGGAGTTCTGTGTGGGAAGTTTGCCCCAGTTCTGTCGTTTGTGGGTTTCAGAATGCTGTTTGATTGTAGGTGAACTATAAATCCCAGTAATCCCAAATGTCAAGGTCTATTTCCCCCAAACTCCATCTGTGTTCATATTTGGGCATATGGAATATTTGTGCCAAGTTTGGTCCAGATCCATCATTGTTTGAGTCCACAGTGTTCTCTGGATGTAGGTGAACTACAATTCCCAAGGTCAAGGCCCACCAAACCCTTCTAGTCTTTTCTGTTGGTCATGGGAGCCCTGTGTGATAAGTTTGGTTCAATTACATAATTGGTGGAGTTCAGAATGCTCTTTGATTGTACGTGAACTATAAATCCCAAGAACTACAACTCCCAAATGAGAAAATAAAAATCTTTTGAGTGAAGGACATACATTGAGTTGTTAGGTGTATGCTGTCCAAATTTGGTGTGAATTGCCCCACTGGTTTTTGAGTTCTGTTAATCCCACAAACGAACATTACATTTTTATTTATATAGATAGTTTCTTTCCAGATCTTTGGGTTTTATTAAAATAGGCTGATTTCAGTGCAATTCTTGTAGATTGCAATGTCAGATTTCATGTATCACGTGTGATTTCCTCCCTTTCAACAGAGTCTGATTTAGAAGATGATGATGATGATGATGACGACGACGACGACGACGATGATGATGCAGAAGTAAAAGAGGAAAATGGTGTATTGGTGCTGAATGATGCAAACTTTGATACATTTGTTGAGGGCAAAGATACAGTGCTCCTGGAGTTCTATGCTCCTTGGTAAGCCTGATGCTTCCCGAATTTTCATCCTTTTGCTTGAAAAGAATTTACATATATTACTGAAGAGATGTCTGACACATTGGTGAATATTGTGTATCATTTTCTCTTATCCTTGTTAGGAATTCCCATCACCCTAAGCGCAGGTAACGATGGTGTCAACACTGTCAAGGTTTACATAATCTGGTTCTTTTCTTTCTTGGGTTTTCCTAATTTATTTCAGGCTACATTTTCAAATCTTGATTCAGAACAAACTTTTATATTTTTTTTGTAAATATATGTTGAAGATTGATGCATCTGTAATGCATAAGGATTTACTGTGTTCTAAGTCCATGGGTTACTTTTGTTGCATCAGTTATATTTTATAGACATTTCCTTCAACATTAGCAATATATGATGTTGCTGAGGTTTTTGAATCGGTATAATATGGATGAAATCCTATACTCTTAAGGCAGGGGTCCTCAAACTAAGGCCCAAGGGCTGGATACGGCCCTCCAAGATTATTTAGCTGGCCCTCGCTCAGGGTCAAACTAAGTCTGAAACGACTTGAAAGCGCAGAACAACAACAACAATCCTATCTCATCAGCCAAAAGTAGGACCACACTCCCCATTGAAATACTTATAAGTTTAATGTATTGTCGAAGGCTTTCATGGCCGGAATCACTGGTTTGTTGTAGGTTTTTTTCGGGCTATATGACCCTGTTCTAGAAGCATTCTCTCCTGACTTTTTGCCTGCTTCTATGGCAAGTTTCCTCAGAGAATGCTTGCCATAGATGCAGGCGAAACATCAGGAGAGAATGCCTCTAGAACATGGACAACGAATAAGTTTATATTTGTTTTAATTGTTCTTCATTTTAATTATTGTATTGTTTTAAGTGTTTTTTGCACTACCTATAAGATATGTGCAGTGTGCATAGGAATTTGTTCATTTTTTTCAAATTATAATCTGGCCCTCCAATAGTTTGAGGGACTGTGACCTGGCCCTCTTTTTAAAAAAGTTTGAGGATCCCTGCTCTAAGGAGAGAGTGTGACCCTTCCTGTGGTTGCTTATGTGGTTGTACATCTTCGTCAGATGATGACTCCCCTCTCTATGTTGACCCTGAAGTTCCAAACACTTGAGTTCCTGTCACTTACTTTGTACCTCAGGATCCTTCTCTGGAACAAGTGCTTGGGCCTCAAGGCTTATCTGTCCGAACGTATCTCCTCCTATGAACCATCTAGGAGCTTAAGATCATCTGGGGAGGCCCTGCTCTCGATCCTGCCTGTCTCGCAAGTGCGATCAGCAGAGATGAAGGACAGGGCCTTCTCAGTGGTGGCCCCCTCGGCTATGGAATTCCCTCTCCAGGGATATTAGATCGCCCCCCTTCCTCCTGACTTTCCAAAAAAAAGTAAAGACCTGGCTCTTAGAGCAAGCTTTTGAGAATACAGCAGAATAGATAACACAGAATTATGAATGATGAACATGGACGATGTTACTGGATAACATTTTTAACAGTATGACACCAATGATTATATACCTTAACGGTTTTTATTTATGTTTTATATTGTAATATCGATTGTTTTTAATGACACTTTTATGAATGCCTGACACCGAATTGTGCCAATCTCTAACCAGCTTTGAGTCGCCGTATGGCCGAGAAAGGCGGGCTATAAATATCGTAAATAAATTAATAAGGGTTTTTTTTTTAATCATGTCAGGAGCGACTTGAGAAACTGCAAGTTGCTTCTGGTATGAGAGAATTGGCCGTCTGCAAGGACGTTGCCCAGGGGATGCCCGGATGGTTTGATGTTTTTATCATCCTTGTGGTAGGCTTCTTTCATGTCCCCGCATGAGGAGCTGGAGCTGATAGAGGGGGCTCATCCGCCTCTTCCCGGATTCGAACCTGCGACCTGTCGGTCTTCAATCCTGCCAGCACAGGGCTTTAACCCACTGCGCCACCGGAGGCTCCCAATATATTTATTTATTTATTTCATACATTTCTGCCCCACCCTTTTCCCCACAAGGAAACTCAGGGCGGCCTCACATAAGCATCAGATGATACTAACAACATATACACCATAAGAATTACAATTAAAACAGTAAAATCATTTTAAAAACATTATACAAAATCATCAGTAAATTAATTTAACAATAAATTAACATGCCAGTAAAACCAAAACCAAGCCAGGAGAGTCCAATGTTACAAAAAATCAAAAATTCCTTTTCCTATTGCCTCTGTCCTCTGGTCGAATGCCTGGCCCCAGAGCCGGGTCTTCAGTTGTCTTCTGAAGGATAAGAGGGAGGTGGCCAATCTGATGTCCTTGGGGAGAGAGTTCCACGGACAGGGGCCATTGCTGACAAGGTCCTGTCTCTCATCCCCAGTAAGCATGGCATTGTAAAAAGAATAACAAGTAGACCTTTATTAGTATACATTTCAATCACACACTTATACCTGTTTAATAATGTATGGCTCCCCCAAACCCATTCAGTTTTTCCTCATTTCTCACTGTCATATCTCTCATCCTTCCCCTGTCTACCTGCAATCTGATCAATATCCCATTCTGCATCATTTATATATATAAATTACAAAGCATACCTTAATCCATAACAACTACATCAATAATTAGTAGGTCACATTTCTTGGCATCTGTGTGTTTGACAGGCCACACAAGTCCATCCTATAGCGATCCTTTATTTAATTATTTCTACTATACAACCCTCTGAGGCTGCCTTCCAGTGTGTGGCCTGTGTGTGTGTGTGTGTTGCATAATAAGGTAATTAATGCTTCCTTCCACAACATCCCTAAAATGATATATGTTTACATAGCCACAGGTTATTCAGTCATTTACACATATACATTAGGCCTCCCCCGCAAATAACCTTCTTTTATCTCGCCCGAGTTTTAATTAGTTTTAATCAGTTCGTCTTTTAATCATTACATGTAGCCCGCCTATTTATTTATTTGTCATGTCAGGACAACCAGTCAAATTATATTACATTTCTAACAGAACAAAGCAAACAAACAGACAAAATACAAAATTTGCGAGTTTGGTAGTTGATTAAATGTCTTTTGACCAGTAGCTGGCCACTTGGAGTGCCTCTGATATTGTTGCAAGAAGGTCCTCCACTGTGCATGTGGCAGGACTCAGGTTGCATTGCAGCAGATGGTCAGTGGTTTGTTCCTCTCCACACTTGCATGTTGTGGATTCCACTTTGTAGCCCCATTTCTGAAGGTTGGCTCTGCATCTTGTGGTGCCAGAGCGCAGTCTGTTCAGTGCCTTCCAAGTCGCCCAGTCCTCTGTGTGCCCAGGGGGGAGTTTCTCATTTGGTATCAGCCATTGGTTAAGGGTTTGAGCCTGCCACTTTTGGACTCGCTTGCTGAGGTGTTCCAGCGAGTGTCTCTGTAGATCTTAGAAAACTATTTCTAGATTTAAGTCGTTGACGTGCTGGCTGATACTCAAACAGGAGATGAGCTGGAGATGTCTCTGTCTTGGTCCTTTTACTATTGGCTGCTACTTCCCGGCAGATGTCAGGTCGTGCAATGTAAGCAGTGTAATTTCTCCAGTGGTGTAGGGCGCAGACACCCTGTGATAATGCGGCATGTCTCATTAAGAGCCACATCCACTGCTTTAGTGTGATGAGATTGTTCCACACTGGGCATGCATACTCAGCAGCAGAGTAGCACAGCGCAAGGGCAGATGTCTTCACTGTATCTGGTTGTGAACCCCAGGTTGTGCCAGTCAGCTTTCGTATGATATTGTTCATTGTCCCATTGTCTTTGAACTTGTGCTTAGTGTAATTTTGCATTGTTATGTATCCACATGTTTTGTTTTCTGATTTGTTTTATGTAACTATGATGTTGTTGTTTATTGTTTGCATTTTCGCTTTTTCTTTATTGTAATTGTTGTTTGGGCTTGGCCCCATGTGAGCCGCTCCAGGTCCCCATCAGGGAGATGGTGGCGGGGTATAAATAAAGATGATGATGATGATGATGATTATCTGTAATGGTTTGCACCTTTGTAATATCAAGAAAAAAAGACAGTAGTGGGGGAAATTTGTGCACACGGTCCTGCAATCAAACTAGTAAAATAATGTCTGCCTGATTTGTTTTCTGGGTCCTTGACAAATGATCCTTTTTGAAGGAAGGAACCTTTGAGTGGGGAACAATCGCACATTGTATTGCACTTTTTTGAAGCAATTGAGTCCCAAGAAGTCTGCACCACATGACTCTTCCGATTGTGCAGGTCGTATCTGAGAGGACTTGTGTTAGTTACTGTTAAGCATCTATGCCAACTTACACAGTATTTGTTCTGCTCGCTTAAAAAAAAAAAAGAATGATAAGAATCAGGATTCCGCTGTTTCCAGCACTCGTAGTCACAAGGAATGATTGATAGCTCACCTCAAGAGTTTGGTTTTTGCATTCATTTTAAAAACTGAAAATCTGCTTTCACCCATGCTTTGCTTCAGGTAGTTGTGTAGTTGATCATGTGTAGGAATGTGGCAGTGTCTGAATGGAAATCTGTTTTGGCTGCTCTCCAGAACTAGAAGCACGCAACTTCTGTTTCGATTATGTCCAAATGTTTGGGATATAGGAGGACAGGTCTAACAGATGTAGAGGTACATGAAACATAAATAAAATTGGGCACCTGCAATGTAAATATTTAACCCCAAAACATACCTTTAGAGTAGATAGACCAGGGGTCCACAAACTTTTTAAACAGAGGGCCAGGTCACAGTCCCTCAAACTGTTGGAGGGCCGGATTATAATTTGAAAAAAAATGAATGAATTCTTATGCACACTGCACATATTTTATTTGTAGTGCAAAAACACTTAAAAACAATACAATAATTAAAATGAAGAACAAATTTAACAAATATAAGCTTATTAGTATTTCAGTGGGAAGTGTGGGCCTGCTTTTGGCTGATGAGATAGGATTGTTGTTGTTGTTGTGTTTTCAAGTCATTTCAGACTTAGGTTGACCTTGAGCGAGGGCCGGGTAAATGACCTTGAAGGGCCGTATTCGGTCCTCGGGCCATAGTTTGAGGACCCCTGAGATAGACAATATAGCCAAACAGTGTATCTGTATAAATAAAAATGTAATGTTCGTTTGTGGGATTAACATAAGTCAAAAACTACTGGACGAATTGACACGAAATTTGGACACAATACACCTCTAACAGTCCAATGAGTGTCCATCACCCATAAACACACACACACACAAAACCCCAGCAGAACAAACTTAAAAGCCCAAAAAATACACCATATATACATATACACATACCCTCATATGCATATGCACATGCACACATTCATACACACACACGTATATGTATGCACAAGCACACACAAATATACACATATACACACATACATATACATACACATATCTACATAAACACATGCACATATACATGCACACATACATATATACATATCCACATGCACATACATATACATATCCACATACATGCATATATACACACGGTGCCCCCAGTGGTGCAGTGGGTTAAAGTGCTGAGCTGCTGAGCTTCTTGACCGAAAGGTCGCAGGTTCGATTCCGGGGAGCGATGTGAGCGTTCCGCTGTCAGCACTAGCTTCTGCCAACCTAGCAGTTCGAAAACATGCAAATGTGAGTAGATCAATAGGTACCGCTCTGGCGGGAAGGTAACGGCGCTCCATGCAGTCATGACGGCCACATGACCTTGGAGGTGTCTACGGACAACGCTGGCTCTTCGGCTTAGAAATGGAGATGAGCACCACACCCCAGAGTCAGACATGACTGGACTTAATGTCAGGGGACACCTTTACCTTTTTATGCATATAGACAAGCACACACATATACACAATATTCACGTACACATATAAATACACAAATACACAAATATATGTACACACATATATATATATGAACACACACAAAAATACACACACACTCAAATATATATATACGCAAGCACAAATATATACACACACATACACACATATATACACACACAAAACACATATACACAGCAACGCGTGGCAGGGGACGGCTAGTATCGAAATAAAATCAGTCTTGTTCATCTCCTTCCTTTCTCTGATGCAGAAACTGAGTAGTGAAGTTGAAAGCTTAACTGAATTTTCTTTCTCTCCACCCTCCCAGGTGTGGACACTGCAAGCAATTTGCTCCAGAATATGAAAAAATAGCCAAAACACTGAGTGAAAATGATCCTCCCATCCCAGTTGCTAAGATAGATGCTACATCAGCTTCCACTGTGTCTGGTCGCTTTGATGTTAGTGGTTACCCAACCATCAAAATCTTGAAGAAGGGGCAACCTGTGGATTATGAAGGCTCAAGAACAGAAGCAGGCAAGCAGTGCTACATATATAAAATATATATTGTATATCTTTGTAAGAGGTGAAATGGAAATGTGCTGATTTGCTACCTTAAATGCAAATGGCTATTTTTGTACTTTTTGTGCTGCAACATGCATTTAGTCTGTAGTTAATTCTCAGTCATAAGGCTTTCTTAAGTGCTGTTTTCTAAAACAAACTAATAGCTGGGTTGCTGTGAGTTTTCCAAGCTGTATAGCCATGTTCCAGAAGCATTCTCTCCTGACGTTTTGGCCACATCTATGACAGGCATCCTCAGAGGTTGTGAAGTCTGTTGGAATCTAGGAAAGGAAGGTTTATATATCTGTGGAAGGTCCAAAAAGAACTCTTGTCTGCTTGAGGCTAGTGATAATAATAATAATAATAATAATAATAATAATAATAATAATAACAACACTTTATACCCTGCCACCATCTCCCCAAGGGACTCGGAGCGGCTTACATGGGGCCAAGCCCGACAACACATCAATAATTGATTAGCATTGAATGGCTTTGCAACTTCAAAGACTGGCTGCTTCCTGCCTGGGGGAACCCTGAGGAAAACATGAAAATAAACAAAATCTGGCTACCAGTATTTAAAAATTCTAAAATCAGGGCAGTAAATAAAGAACAACACTAAAAAACAGGGGAATTTCTGACATGGAACAATCCGGGCCAGCTAACACTTTCCAACAAAGATTTCCCCCAGGAAGCAGCCAGTCTTTGAAGTTGCAAGGCATTCAATGGTAATCGAGGTGGCTGATTGCAACATTCACACTTGCCTCAAGCAGACAAGAGTTCTTTCTCCCACCCTGGACATTCCACAGATATATACTGTATATACTCAAATATAAGCCTAGTTTTTCAGTCCTTTTTTTAGGCTGAAAAAGTCTCCCCCGGCTTATACTCGAGTCAATGTTCTTTATTATTTTACTTTGTTGTTGTTGTTATTGTTGTTATTATTATTATTATTACATTTATTATGTTATTATTGTTATTATTACATTTATTATTTTACTCTGTTATTGTTATTGTTACATTTATTATTTTACTCCATTATTATTATTATTATTATTATTTTACTCTATTATTATTGGAGGACATCTAAGCATATTTACATTGAAGAAGGTTAGAATAATGGTTTAATCAGAGTTGGACAATCTTATCTTGAATTACAGTTTTATGTAAATATTCATCCGGTCCCTCCGGATTGAAAGTGGTGCTGTTGAACGCCAGATCTGTCAACGGTAAAACAACCTTCATCCAGGATTTAATCCTGGATGAACGGGCAGATCTGGCGTGCATCACAGAGACCTGGTTGGACGAAGCGGGAGGTGTAAATTTGACCCAGCTTTGCCCACCAGGTTTCTCTGTGCAGCACCAACCGAGATCCGGAGGGCGGGGAGGCGGAGTTGCAGTGGTCTATAGAGATTCCATTCTTCTGACCAGGGCCCCCATCCCGCAGTCAACAAATTTTGAATGTGTCCACCTGAGGGTGGGTGACCGGGACAGATTAGGGATTCTGTTAGTGTACCGTCCACCTCGCTGCACTACAGTCTCCCTGCCTGAGCTAGCGGGGGTGGTCTCGGACCTGGCATTGGAGTCCCAACGGCTGCTTGTGCTGGGGGACTTCAATGTCCATGCCGAGGCCGCCTTATCGGGAGCGGCTCAGGACTTCATGTCTGCCATGGCAACCATGGGGCTGTCCCAACAGGTATCTGGCCCCACCCACAGTGCTGGACACACATTGGACTTGGTTTTCTGCCAGGGATGGGAGGAAGGTGGCGGTGTTGAGGAGTTATCCATCTCTCCGTTGCCATGGACCGACCACCACCTGGTCAGCTTCAGACTAACTGCACCCCCTAACCTCTGCAGAGTGGAGGACCCATTAAATTGGTCCGCCCCAGGAGGCTTATGGATCCGAATGGATTCCTGATGGCTCTTGGGGAATTTCCCACCGCTCGGTTGGTGATCCTGTTGATGCCCTGGTCGCTCTCTGGAATGGGGAGATGACTAGGGCAATAGACACGATCGCTCCAGAACGTCCCCTCTCAAGTAGCCGAGCTAAACCAGCTCCTTGGTTTACCGAGGAGCTGGCAGCGTTGAAGCAAAAGAAGAGGGAACTAGAGAGCGTGTGGCGTTCGGATCCGAGCGAGCCAAATCGAACACGGTTTGTGTCCTTTTTAAGGGCATATGCCGCGGCAATAAAAGCCGCAAAGAAACTTTCTTCGCGGCCACTATTGCGTCTGCAAAGAACCGTCCGGCCGAACTGTTCCGAGTTGTCAGAGGCCTATTAAAACCCACCCAGGATGGGTGCCCTGATGACTCGGCAGCTCGCTGTGAAGCCTTTGCTCCGTTCTTTGCAGACAAAGTCGCTTTGATCCGCTCTGGTCTGGATACCATATTAACGGCAGTCTCTGAGGATGTAACACGAGCATCTGCTTGTCTGGTTTTGATGGATTCATTTCAATTGGTTCAATCCGAGGATGTGGACAAGGTGCTTGGAGGAATGAGAGCTACCACAGGCATCCTAGACCCCTGCCCATCCTGGCTTCTAAAGGAGGCCAGAGGGGGATTGGCCGAGTGGGTGAAGGTGGTGGTTAATGCCTCCCTTCGGGAGGGCAAAATTCCAGCCAGCTTAAAGCAAGCTGTGATAAAACCGCTGTTGAAAAAACCATCACTGGACCCCACTCAATTCGTCAACTATCGGGCTGTTTCCAATCTCCCCTTTTTGGGCAAAGTCATGGAACGTGTGGTGGCCTCACAACTCCAGGCATTCTTGGTAGACACGGATTATCTGGATCCGGCACAGTGTGGCTTTAGGCCGGGGCATGGTACCGAGACAGCCTTGGTCGCCTTAGTGGATGACCTGCGTCGGGAGCTCGACAGGGGGAGTGTGTCCCTGTTGGTGCTGCTCGACCTCTCAGCGGCGTTCGATACCGTCGACCACGGTATCCTTCTGGGATGCCTCGCGGGGATGGGTCTTGGAGGTACTGTTCTGCAGTGGCTCCGCTCATTCCTCGAGGGTCGGTCTCAGAAGGTGTTACTGGGAGACTCCTGTTCAACCCCACAACCTTTGTCTTGTGGGGTTCCTCAGGGTTCAATACTGTCTCCCATGTTGTTTAACATCTACATGAAGCCGCTGGGTGAGATCATCCGGAGTTTCGGAGTGCGATGTCATCTGTACGCAGATGATGTCCAACTCTGTCACTCCTTTCCACCTGCTACTAAGGAGGCTGTCGAAGTCCTGAACCGGTGCTTGGCCGCTGTGACGGTCTGGATGGGGGCGAACAAATTGAAATTGAATCCAGACAAGACAGAGGTACTCCTGGTTAGTCGCAAGGCCGAACAGGGTATAGGGTTACAGCCTGTGTTAGACGGGGTCGCACTCCTGAAGACGCAGGTTCGCAGTTTGGGTGTGATCCTGGACTCATCGCTGAGCCTGGAACCCCAGGTTTCGGCGGTGACCAGGGGAGCATTCGCACAGTTAAAACTTGTGCGCCAACTGCGACCGTACCTTGGGAAGTCTGACTTGGCCACGGTAGTCCACGCTCTGGCTTACATCCCGTCTTGACTACTGCAACGCTCTCTACGTGGGGTTGCCTTTGAAGACGGCTCGGAAGCTCCAATTAGTCCAACGGCGGCAGCCATGATACTAACAGGAGCGGAGCGCAGGGAGCATACAACTCCTCTGCTGCACCAGCTCCACTGGCTGCCGATTTGCTACCGGGCTCAATTCAAAGTGCTGGCGTTGGCCTATAAAGCCCTAAACGGTTCTGGCCCAACCTACCTATCCGAACGTATCTCGGCCTATCAGCCCACCAGGACCCTAAGATCTTCTGGGGAGGCCCTGCTCTCTATCCCGCCTGCTTCACAGGTGCGGCTGGCGGGGACGAGAGACAGGGCCTTTTCTGTGGTGGCCCCTCGGCTGTGGAACGCCTTCCCATGGAGGTAAGATCAGCCCCCTCGCTGATGGTGTTTAGAAAAAGACTGAAGACCTGGATGTTCGAACAGGCATTCGGTTAATCCGGTGCAATGAACTTGATGATTAAAGGATTGGTAATCATGGACGATGAAATTGGATGGCGATTTTAGTTAAGAGATGCATTGGATTATTATTGATGGTCCTATATTGTGTACTGTGTATGTTGTTTGTTATGCTTTTTAAATTGAATACTGTTGATTATTGTAGTTTGTTGTAAACCGTGTTGAGTCGCCAATTAGGCTGAGAAACAGCGGTATACAAGTGCAGTAATAAATAATAAATAAATAAATAAATAAAAACATTTAACCTACTGATGCCTAAATTAATATAATTTTATTGGTATCTATTTTTATTTTGAAATTTACCCGTAGCTGCTGCATTTCCCACCCTCGGCTTATATTCGAGTCAGTAAGTTTTCCCAGTTTTTTGTGGTAAAATTAGGTGCTTCGGGTTGGCTTATACTCGAGTATATACAATACTCACTTGCCTAGTTTCCAACAGACCTCACAACCTCTGAGGATGTCTACCATAGAAGTAGGTGAAACGTCAGGAGAGAGTGCTTCTGGAACATGGCCATAAAGCCTGTAAAACTCACAGCAACCCAGTGATCCAGACCATGAAAGCTTTTGACAACACAGACTAATAGCTGTTTGCATGTTTCAAGAGTCTATTTATAATACTGCAAATGATTTGCATACCATATTTATGTGCTTTTAATTCTTTTTAGAGATGTGCATGTTTTGTCCACATAACAAGTATATTGATAATCTCTTAATGCTGATGTCTGTAAAGGGATGCACAGAATATTTGTAAACATTGCTAGAGTATGCTGAGTAATCCTAAAACAAGTATATCTTGCATCTTTAAAATATATCCACCCTGATCAATTTTATCTACATATCATAGGCAAAATGCAGACTCAATTTTTATATTTGTAAATTATGTTTATTTCTGAAAAAAATATGGTCTCAAAAGTGTTTGATAAATTTGAGTGGCTCTTTTTATGAGAAAAGAGAAGCTGCACTGCAATGTCAGCAGACAGCTGTTTCCCAAAACCAGCAACATCCTTCTACCTTCACATAAGGGAACAGTTGTTCAATTATTGTCTCACTAGCCGTCCCCTACCACACGTTGCTGTGGCCCAGTCTGGTGATCTAGAAAATAAAGTAATGAGAAAGTGTTGGTTTCTAATATATGTAATGTCTTTATGCTTGTAGGTAAACAGTATTTGATCACGTTTTCTTGCCCTGGTGAAGGGAGTTGGACTGGATGGCCTTAAGTACTTTCTATTGGTCATAGAGGTTCTGTGTGGGAAGATTGCCCCAATTCTATCATTTGTGGGGTTCAGAATGCTCTTTGATTGCAGGTGAACTATAAATCCCAGTAACTACAACTCCCAAATGTCAAGGTCTATTTCCCCCAAACTCCATCTGTGTTCATATTTGGGCATATGGAATATTCATGCCAAGTTTGGTCCAGATCCATCATTGTCTGAGTCCAGTGCCCTCTGGATATAGGTGTACTACAACTCCCAATCTCAACGTCAATGCCCACCAAACCCCTCTGGTGTTTTCTGTTGGTCATGGGTGTCCTGTGTGCTATGTTTGGTTCAGTTCCATCACTGGTGGAGGTCCAAATGCTCTCTGATTGTAGGTTAACTATAAATCCCAGCAAGTACAATTCCCAAATGACAAACTCAATTTTTTTTTTTTGAGTGATGGTCACTCCTTGGGTTAGTAGGTATCTTGTGGCCAAATTTGGGGGCAATTCATCCATTGGTTTTTGAGTTATGTTAATCCCACAAACTAACATTACATTTTTATTTATATAGATTGGAGTGGGAAGTGCTCCCTTTGAGATCACATTTATGGTGATGCCAAACCTTCCAAAGGATGACTTTGACTCCTCTTTCTTGAAGTTTGTGGGGTGGGATGTATTTTTTCTAGTTGAAAACAAATATTAATTCTCTCTGACTCTCTCTTCACACTCTCTTTTTTAGAAATCGTTGCAAAGGTGAAAGAAGTCTCAAATCCTGATTGGATCCCTCCACCAGATGCAACATTAGTGTTGACCAAAGAAAACTTTGATGAAACAGTGAATGAGGCTGACATAATTCTGGTTGAATTTTATGCTCCATGGTAATATGGAATGGCCTATCTGCTGACTTTTCGCACTTTCCATGTATTGGTTGCTTTGATAAAGAAGCATGAAAATACATTCATGCAAATATGAAGATTGAATTGGGAAAACTTTGAATGACTTAATGTTTTGGGCTAACTCTCATAATCTCTTACCTTCAGAAAGGTGATTTCCTGTTACTTATTCTTTCTTAGTATGGATCCAAAATTGTGGTCTGCATCACTTGGTTTATTAGTTTCAATTCCCTGCTGTTTTTGTTCTGTTTTTTGTTCTTTTATTTTGATATTCAATACCAAACTATTCATTTAATCTCCTTCTTTTCTCCCTCTTCCCCAATGTAGGTGTGGACACTGCAAACGATTGGCTCCAGAATATGAGAAAGCAGCTAAGGAGCTTAAGAAGCATACTCCCCCTATTTCCCTTGCAAAAGTTGATGCTATTGCTGAAACAGATCTTGCAAAGAGGTTTGATGTGTCAGGATATCCGACTCTCAAGATTTTCCGCAAAGGCAAACCATATGAGTACAATGGTCCAAGAGAAAAGTATGGTATGGTGAAGTGCCTTTCTTTGTAATATTTTTAATAAGGCTTGACTATTAACTATTACCTTTGATGATCTCCCAGCATTATCTTTTCTGTACAGTCTCTGTGTTGCTATTAGTATGATTTTAAATTCTGCAACACTTTCCAGCATAAAAATACCTTCCCTTCATTCTGCTCCCATCAGTGTATCTGAGCCTGTTGTGGGACATACTATTTGCATGACATTGGTCAGAGCTAGAGAGTTTCCTTATTTCGGAGTCAAGCTCCCAGAATCCCCAGGAGGCATGACCACTGGTTAAGCATTATATAGGCTGTAGGCTAAAGCCTCCAGATGGCCAAATGTCTCCAACCCCTTAACTGGGTGAGTTCCATGTTTTTGAAAATACAACATTAGCAAAGTATGGTGGGGACAAACCTCAGGTAGACATAATTGCATCACAAAAACCAGAACTAGAGCATGGTAAACACCACTATGCAAAACTATCTTTTTAAAAACTAGTCTGAATTCTTGTTAGCCTTATCATATTTACTCTTAAATAATTTGTACAGATTTTTTTAAAGGCTTTAGTGTTCTTTTTCAGTCAAAAACTTTCAGAAAGATTCTCATGACAACATTGAAATACAATAACCCAATGAAACAATAGACAGTAAAGCAGTATGTTGTTAGGTAGTAAATGTGAGACTAATTCTACAGTTGAAAAGGCCCAGTAAATCAGAAGTCACTGAATTGTGTTTAAAAGACAGAAACAGCCATGTCAGGGTTGTGAGCCTTCATTGCTCACCAGAAGAATTTCAGGAGGCACCTCTGCTATTTCCAATGGTTGTCATTTTTGTGGACAACAGAAGCATTTGTTACTTCTTCTAGATGACCTAGTCGTTCCAGTGCAAGACCTCATTTGTATAATATCACCACTGAATACTGCCACCCTTTAACCAGAGATGTCATGTATCTAAACTCATCCAACCAACACACTATTGTCGCATTCTCAAAGGCACAAATATATGGTACAAAATTAATTTATTAAACAGAGGTTCTCTGACTGATGTGAACCTTGCCTTTAAAAAATCTCATCCAAACATTCAGCCAGTTTATCCTAATATTCTATGCTCATCCCTTCCCAATTGATCAATTGCCTATTATATTAATTGCATGTATTATGTACATAACCATACTTTACCTTAACTTGTCATCAACATAACAAAAGTCACAGTGAGGCATGCAAAAACAACTATTCAGCTACCTGACTTGATGTATGTAGACTCAGTTGACATTTCTCTGAGACGACAAGAGCATGAAAACATACATGACCATTCACATGAAAGGAATGTACATTATTTATTTATTTAAAACTTTTATATCCCGATCTTCTCACCTCCGTAGAGTGACTCAGACCGGCTTACAGCAAGGATTAAATGCTACTAATACAAGCTAAAACCTCATACAACAATACAAGATTAAAATACATATAGATAAAATACATATATACCAAATTGCCAAGGTAAAATCATGTTCAATTCAGTCCGCATATGTGGTCACTCACTTTGGTCTGTAATCAGTCTCAGCCATTATTCTGGGAACGCTTCTTTCCATAACCAGGATTTCACTAGCCTCCTGAAAATAATAATAGAGTAAATTCAGTTCTAAAGTACAGCCTTTCTGTAAGTACTGTATATACTCGAGTATAAGCCTAGTTTTTCAGCCCCTTTTTTTAGGCTGAAAAAAATCCCCTTGGCTTATACTCGAGTCAAGGTTATTTATCATTTTATTCTGCTATTAGTATTATTTTTATTACATTTATTATTTTACTCTATTATTATTATTGTATTTACATTATTTTACTCTATTATTACTTTTATTACAATTATTTTACTCTATTACATTTACCTTATTTTACTGTATTATTATATTTATTGCATTTATTATTTTACTCTATTGTTATTATTACATTTATTACTTTATTATTATTGCTATTATTAAATTTCCATTATTTACTCTATTATTATTTTTATTACATGTTATTACATTTATTATTTTATTCTATCACTATAGGTAATAGGTAAGCACATTTACATTGAAGGAGGTTAGAATAATGGTTGAATCAGAGTTGGGCAGTCTTATCTTAAATTACAGTTTTGTGTAAGTACTCAAAAACATTCAATCTACTGACGATTACCAGTAGCAGCTACATTTCTCACCCTCGGCTTATACTCGAGTCAATATGTTTTCCCAGTTTTTTGTGGTAAAATTAGGTCCCTCGGCTTATATTTGGGTCAGCTTATATTTGAGTACTTGAAAAACAACCATGTTTTTCTCCTTTTCTAGAAGAACAAATGCAAGTTTCAGTTGATGGGAATTAATTCCCCTTCTTATAAAAGCAGTAAATATTATTTAATTTTAAACTGTGACCTATTATTCTCTTTTCCCCCATCAATATCTGGAAACGGTTTCTTTTATTAACAGGAATTGTTGACTACATGATAGAACAGGCTGGTCCTCCATCCAAACAAATACAGGCTATCAAACAGGTACAAGAGTTTGTGAAAGATGGAGATGATGTCATCATCATAGGAGTGTTCCAAGGAAACCAAGATCCAGCCTACCAACTTTATCAAGATGCTGGTGAGCCTTTTCTTCATTATTGGACTAGCTTAGGTACCCGGGGATGGCTGGGTTAGGGATTCTGTAATGTTAAGTATTAGAAATCATTATTTAGTTTTGGATATTATGAATGGTCCCATTAGAAAATTGTTAAGGTAAATTGCAATCCCTGTGATCATCTGTATGTAAAGTTGGTCATTCCCCCAAATCGCACTGGTAGTTAAAGGTGGTCATGATGGGTATATAGTAATAATAATAATAATAATACCTTTCCGACCGCATCTCTGCCTATGAACCCACCAGGACTTTGAGATCTTCTGGAGAGGCCCTGCTCTCGATCCCGCCTGCTTCCCAAGCACGGCTGGCGGGGACGAGAGATAGGGCCTTCTCGGTGGTGGCTCCTCGGCTGTGGAATGCCCTTCCTACGGACATTAGACTAGCACTATCTCTAATGGTATTCCGCAAAAAGTGAAGACCTGGCTGTTTGAGCAGGCGTTCGAATAATTAGTGCAATGATTGGTTAATGAACACTGGAATGGAACAATGGATGACGAATCTGGATCATGCTTTTGATGTTGAGACGACAGTGAATGGGTATTGTAGTAATTGTTTATTAATTGTGTAATGTGTTAGGTTGTTAACTGTTTTTATACTGTAGCACTGAATTTTTGCTGTTCTATTTGTTGTAAACCGCTGTGAGTCGCCTTCGGGCTGAGAACAGCGGTATATAAGTAAGGCAAATAAATAAATAAATAAATAAATAATAATGATAATAATAATAATAAAACTTTATTTATACCCCGCCTCCATCTCCCCAAGGGACTCTGAGCGGCTTACATGAGGCCAAGCCCAACAAGACATCAATAAACAAGAAAGCAATAACAAAAAATAACAACAATACAATTAAATAAATCACATATAGGTGCCAGGTTTGGTTCAGATCAATCACATTGGGGTTCACGGTGGTCTTTGGATGTGGGTGAACTGTGACTCCCATCACCCAGGGTCCATACTCCTGAAGTCCTGCGAGCATTTTTTTTGTTGTTGCTCATGTTGTGTATGTGTGTTAAGTTTGTTTCAGATCTATCATTAGTGGGGTTCACATATAGGTGAACTATAACTCCCATCATCCTCTGCCACTGCCCCCTCTAGAAGTAGGAGCCATGCAAAAATTGGTAGAAACATACAAACAAACATATTTTCACTTATTATATATTAACCCAACATTACCAATAATAATCGCAACAAAAACAACAACAACAATTTTTTTGTGTTACCCACATCTCTTAATAGCTCTAGGCAGAGAACCACAAATGCTTTACTTTTAGAGATACTGAGGGTACAGCCATGTTTTTCTCCTTTGTTTTTGCAAATGAAGATAACCTCTGTTTGTAGTGTTACTTTTCCTTGGAGGTAGATTTTTAGCCATTTGTGTATGAAAAATAATGTATTAGTATTTATTATTTATTTATTTACAATATTTTTATCCCAGCCATAGATTTTAAAGTGTTCTGTACTATTGTCGATGCTTATGTCATTGTGTATGTGATTTATTTTAATGGCATGTGTTGTTATTGTTATTGCTTGTATTGTTGTATTGCGGGCTCAACCTCATGTAAGCCGCAACAAGTCCCTTGGGGAGATGGTAGCGGGGTATAAATAAAGTTTTTTTAAAATTATTATTACTATTATTATTATTATTATTATTATCCTGCCTTTCTCGAAGCCGAACGTGACTCAAGGTGGCTTACAACCAAGAGTTGTTCAATGCCTTAACAATATAAACTTTAAAAACATTTAAAACAAAATTATAAAAACCCTACAAAGAGCTTTAAAATCATATAAAAACCAATGTCTTCAATGTTAATCTCATTGTCCAAAAACATGTTTTATCAGCATACCACTCTTAAAACAAAACAACACTAATGAGTTACTAAAAACCAGCGGGCAAGGATTAACTTTCTTTAAAATAATTAATCAACATTCTGATTAAGCTCTGTGATCACTAATGTTAGGAACAAACCACTGGTATTATTTTGCATTTATAAATACATATTGAAAAGCTTTGTTTTGTAATTCTTATAGAGCTTTAGGCTAAAGGTGCTGTGTAAACAAATTGCTGGATCAGAAATCCCGCTTTCTCACTTTTTTGCTTGTCTTACAGCTAACAATCTAAGAGAAGACTACAAGTTCTACCATACTTTCAGCAAAGAAATTTCGAGCTTTCTGAAAGTGGATCCTGGGAATGTGGTAGTGATGCAACCTGAGAAATTTCAGTCAAAATATGAGCCTAAAATGCATCTTTTGGATATTAAAGTGAGTTGTTGTGTCAAAGCTAGATTGGAAACAAATAGGTCACCTTTATTCTTTCTGCGTGCCATTTTGCCCGTTGCTACTTGATATTTCAGATTGCATTTTAAATTTAGAGGACTTTCTGTTTAAGTATAGATATTTGTTTATAGCGATCCAGATCCTAATTAATGACCTTAGTTGAATTGATTTACATGTTGAACTGTCATGTATCCTGTGTCTGAACCGTATATATACATAAGTTCCTTGATGGAATTGTGCTGACTTGATCTATAACTTAAATAAAAGTATTCTGCATGGATATGAGGAAAAAATAAGTACTCAATCAAAACACTCTCTTATACTCAATGTATGCGGAATGCCTGCTATCAGGGTGTGTTGCATTAATTCCTGGCTCCTCCTTGGCAAATAATAATAATAATAATAATAATAATAATAATAATAATAATAATAAACCTTTATTTATACCCCGCTACCCCGCTACCATCTCCCGGAGGACACGGTGCGGCTTACAAGAGGCCGAGCCCACATACATCAGTAAAAAGGACAACAACAATACAACAATGAATGAACTCAAAACAAAGCAATAAACATTAAAATCTATGGCAGGGCCAAATGTAATAATTAAAATTTAAAAATATGCTGGGCATGACCAGGTGAAAAGGATAGGTGTTTGGAGGGGGATGGGGCGTGCAGATATCCTAGATCTCTAGTAAAGTGCATTTGGGGACATCTTGCTTGGAGTTTCCTTATTCTGGGAAGGCACACTGGAACAACCACGTTTTCAAGCTCCTCCTAAAAACTGCCAGCATTGGGGCATGCCTGATGTCCTTAGGGAGAGAGTTCCAGAGTCGATGGGCCACCACCGAGAAGGCCCTGTCCCTCGTCCCAACCAATCGCGCTTACGACGCAGGTGGGATTGTGAGCAGGGCCTCTCCAGATGATCGAAGAGATCGTGTGGGTTCGTAAACAGAGATGCGGTCACGCAGGTAGGCGGGTCCCAAACCGTTTAGGTCACGCAGGTAGGCGGGTCCGCAAACCTTAAGGGAAGCTCTAACAACCCACTTCATTGGCATTTTGATTTTATTTTTTATTAGATTTTCAAAAATGTAATTTAAAACTGACAAAATAAAAAACGCAAACATTCAACATAAAACAAAACAAAAGAGTCAATTCCTAAATTACCCTATAGTATTTCCACTCTATTACATTCCCCTACCTCTTCCAATTAAAATTAACAAACCCTTATCTCTTCTTTTCCTAAAAAATATAAATTAACATTAAATACATGATTGACTTCTCCTCTCATCAGGCAAGGGCAACTATCAAAACTATTATATTTTGTTTCTATTTAATTGCATTTCAGCTTCTACTAAAGATAGACATGTATATTTTAAACTAGCTGTACCTCCCATGCGTTGCTGTAGCCAACCTTCCCTCTTTCTCTCCTTCTTTCCCTCCTTCCTTCACTCCTTCTTTCCTTCCTTCCCGTCTTTCCTTCTCTTCTTCCTTCTCTATCTCTTTCCTTCCTTCTCCCTTTTTCTTTCTTTTCTGCTGTCTCTCTTTTCTTCCTTCTCTCTTTCCTTCTTTTCTTCCCTCCCTCTTTCTCTACATCTTCCCCCCTTCCTTCACTCCCTCTTTCATTCCTTCTTTCCCTTTTTTCTTTCCTTCTCTCCTTCTTTCCTTCTCTAACTTTCCTTCCTTCCCCCTTTTTCTTTTCCTACCTCTTTCTCTCCTTTCTTCTCTACCTCTTTCCTTTCAATTTTTGATACCCCCCATGTGAGATTCTTTTTAGTAACCTCCTTTTTTAGTATCCTCCATTCAAGATTCTTTACCGTGCATCAGCAAGGTTGGGTGTCTACAACTTGCTCCATGTTTTATACAGTTGACTTTGCCTTGAATCTGGGATATTCTTGGATCAGCTGCAGCACATTGGAGGGCTTAACTCAGACTTTTTGTAACTTTTTAAATGTGCCACTTCTTGTTTAATCTATGCTACAGAGCGTATTAGCAGTGTGCATTTTGTGGCCAAAATGGCCTCAAGTTAGCTTTAAACTGCATTATATAATCAATGTAAGATTGTATGAAAATTTGCTTGGAGACTGTTATAACCACTCAAGATTCCTGAAGTATAATGTATAATATTTTCAGTATTCTGCATAGATTGTAAGGTTCTTCAGATGTTCTTTTAGTTAGGCTCTGTGCATCAATTATCTTTTTCACAGTGTAAAGTCTTCCAAGCATCACATTCTCTATTTTTTGTTGCTCTGAACAGGAATCAACTGATATTGAGGAAGTGAAAAGCCATGTGGTGAAACATGCTTTGCCTCTTGTAGGCCATCGCAAGACTGCTAATGATGCTAAGAAGTACAATAAGAAACCCTTGGTGGTAGTTTATTATGCAGTAGACTTCAGCTTTGATTATCGAGTTGGTAAGCATAGGTAACAAACTGTTGTATTTTAAAGAGATGCTACAGAAGAACAAGAAATGGCTTAACTTTGTTATGTATTTGTCTTCAGCTACACAGTACTGGCGAAACAAAGTTTTAGAGGTAGCTAAGGACTTCCCAGAATATACTTTTGCAGTGGCCGACGAAGAAGATTATTCCTCAGAGCTAAAGGACCTTGAACTGATTGATAGTGGAGAGGATGTTAACGCTGCCATCTTTGATGAAGGTGGCAAGAAATACGCAATGGAACCAGAAGAATTTGATTCTGATGTGTTGAGGCAATTTGTGTTGTCATTCAAAAAAGGTAAATGGCTGGGGTGGTGGGGAAGTCTTCTTTTTTAGATTTCTTAGATTTGAGTGTTAAGATGTACATTCTTTCCTAAAAGTTAAATGAAACACATGTAACATCATGTGACACGGGTAACAACTCTTGAGCATCAGTTGGGAGTATATTAGGTTTCATGAAAAAATATCTAGGAACACTCTATTACTCAGCGACGTATTTTGCTCAGTGCCCAAAGCCCAAATACAAAAGACTCACAGACCAGAGTAAAAGTGAACAGAAAAATCTTTACTCAGCAGAGATGAAAACAAAAACAAAGTCAAACAGATATAGCTCCTTGCTGGTTGACCTACATCTCCAGCTGTACATGATAATTAAACACAATAAGGCTTTTCTTCAACACACATATACTTGGTCCTGCAAGGACTTATTGCAACACACTCTACCCTACCCTTTCCATGTGTTATTACATTACATTGTACATGATAGGACAATAGCTATATTCAGTCCAGCTTTTTATTTATTTCGTATCAAAAGCATTGTGTAAATAAGTATAAAACTGATAAAAATAGAAGGAGCATGAGCGGCTAAATATTTTTTGACAAAAAATGGGCAACAGCAACCGCATTGTCTGTAGCTTTAAACAATTCTTCCTCTGTACATGAGGCAGGGCATAGTGGACAAGCATATAAATGCGGAGTTGTCTGTTCTGCTCCACAGTCGCACAAAGGAGGGGGGGGTTTAAATTGGGGGGGGGGTTGAAACCTGCCTCCTAGCTCACGCTGAAGCAAAGAGCACAGCAGGGGGCAGAGCAGCCTTCAATAGCCTGCAGCTCTGCCCCTGTCAACCACCTCCACCAAATCTGGCCTCCTTAATGAGAGCATTCAACACCCCCCCCCCCCCCAACTTGGTTGCTTCGCTAAATCGGCTATTGCTGCAAGTAATGACAGTGTGAATAAATTGTCAATATTTGCTTGAGATAGTTGCAGTTCTGGAGGGACTCTTAATTTTTTGCGTCTCATAGACTTAGCATGGGGATTTGGTTAACCAGTTAAAATTCATGAGTAAATCAGGTTTTTTTTAACCTGAAAAATGTCAGGGGGGGTTGAACCCCTCACCCCCCCCCCCCCGGCTATAGGCCTGGGCGCAGAATTGTCCGTTCTGCTGCACAGTCGCACAAGGCAGAGGATTCTTTTAGGTAGTGCCATTTTTTTCAGGTTGACTTCTGAGTCTGTCCAGGGTCTTCCAAATTGCCCATTCTTGGTTTGCCCCTGGAGGCAGACCCTCATGGGGGCCATCCAATTGGGATATCCTGGTTTCGCTGCCCAGAGGGATACTCTTGCTGTTGCTGGGAAAACATTCGGAGGAGTGGTGGTTCTCATGAAGGTTTTCCTTTATTTGAGTCTACTGAGAGGAGGCCGATAGCCATGCATTGGATGGCTTTCACAGTGTTCAAGCTTATTTCTCCCACAGCAGCAACTTCCCATTGCACATCCGGGGGTGGGGGGGGGGGGTGGGATGCCAGCTAGCTTGTAGAGTTTATCAATAGTTGTAGGTTTCAGACATCCTGTGATTATTCTGCATGTTTCATTCAATGCTATCTTTACTTGTTTCACGTGGGCAGAATTGTGCCAAACAGGACAGACATACTCAACAGTCAAGTAAGACAAGGCCAGGGCTGATGCTCTTATTAATTTTGGGTCTACACCCCATGTGTTGTGAGTAAGTTTCCTCGGTGTTATTGCGTGCAGCTACTTTGTGCTTGGTGTTCATACAGTGTTTCCTAAATGATAGTGTTCATGAGGTGTCACCAAAATATTTAGGATGGAAACAGTGTTCGAGCTCTTCCAACTTTCAATTTCCTGTTGGCTTCACGGTTACATAGGTGCAAAGCACACACTTGTGTCTTGGCAGAGTTAGGCTTCAGGTAGTTATCTTTGTAGTCGGTGGAGAGATCTTTCAAGGCATCAAGGTAAAATTTCATAAAATACTGGGCACGCTTTTTAGCTCTTTGCAATTCTTCACTGGGCTGGATATTGAGCAGAAGGTGGGAAACACCATGATTTAGGGCAGGCATCCTCAAACTTTTTAAACAGAGGGTGTAGTGAAATTGTTAAAGTTTGGTGTACAGCTTTATGTTTACATATGGCAGATAGGGAAGAATAGGCACAGACAGGGTAGCAACAGCAGAGATAGGATTCATTTGAATATGTGAAGCCGATTGGTCATATGCAGATTAGTGTAGGCCCAGGATTTGAAAAGGCTGCTAGGCCAAAATGACAATTGAGGAGAGCAGAGCTGAACATTCCAAAGGGGCAGAGCCAAGGTTCTGAAAGAGGCAGTTAGAGTGAGGGAGTTTAAAAATGACAATTAGGAATCTGTGTGTGAAGAGGAGAGTTGGTTTTTGAGTACCTGATAGAAATAAGCAGTTATGAAGATGTGTTAAAGACTTCTGATATAGAGAAGCAGTTAGTTAAATAGAGCTCGAGTTTTAAGGAACATAAAGAAGGCTAGTGTTGCCTTAGTTCAGAATATAATTCAGCCAAGAGTGTGTAAAGCAAGTAACATGTTTGTGAATGTGAAACATTGATAGTTTATTCAGAAAAGTTAACCAAGTAAATGATACTGACTGTAAGCCTCAAGATTGCAACAAAACACAAATGTAACCACAAGCTTTGGAGCCAGAAGTTATAAATAAACTGTGTTACTTTGTTATACACAAGAGCGTTTCATTGCCTGCGATATAAAGTACAAAGGTTTAACAGCACACAGAAAGTCCAAGCCAATATAAAAGAAGAAACTGAATCAGTATAAGGCAGCAAAGAAGTTTTTAAAGAGGAAATGATCTCTCTCCCTTGCCTCACCTTACTTCACAGACCCTCAAACTGTTGGAGGGCTATATTATAATAAAAAACATAAATGAATTCCTATGCACACTGCACATATCTTATTTGTAGTGCAAAAACACTTTAAAACAATACAATAATTAAAATGAAGAACAATTTTAACAAATATAAGCTTATTAGTATTTCAGTGGCAAATGTGGGCCTGCTTTTGACTGATGAGATAGGATTGTTGTTGTGTGTTTTCAGGTCATTTCAGACTTAGGTTGATCCTGTGCGAGGGTCGGGTAAATGGCCTTGGAGGGCCGTATCCGGCCCTCGGGCCGAAGTTTGAGGACCCCTGATTTAGGGATTGGCATATCAAGATATTTTATATGTCAAATCTTGTGAAAAGCATTTTCAGTCAAAGAGCTTATAATTTAGCCCTTTTCATAGCTGATGAGGAAGGACTCCTGTTGCCAATATCATGGGTAAGTGAAACCACAAAAACAATTGTATATAATAATGCTTTTTTATTTTATTCATTCCTTTAGGAAAACTGAAACCCATTGTGAAATCGCAACCTGTACCAAAAAATAACAAGGGTCCGGTGAAGATTGTAGTTGGAAAAACATTTGAGTCTATAGTGATGGATCCCAAAAAGGATGTCCTCATTGAGTTTTATGCTCCCTGGTGTGGACACTGCAAGAAACTTGAGCCCATCTATACTGAGCTGGGGAAAAAGTACAAAAATCAGAAAAATCTGGTCATCGCCAAAATGGATTCCACCGCCAATGATGTTCCCGGCGAGAATTACAAAGTGGAAGGATTCCCTACCATCTATTTTGCTCCCAGCAACAACAAGAAGAATCCTATTAAATTTGAAAGTGGAGAACGAGATCTGGAGAACTTGAGCAAATTTGTAGAAGAACATGCCACTAAACTAAGTAGGAGAAAAGAAGAACTTTAAGGGAAAGATAGAGGTTACACACAGTGAACAATTATTGAATCCAATTAAAAGATCATTGCAAAGGAATCTGAAGCATTTGGAGCAAATTTGGGAGAGTAAAACAATGCAGTATGGATTTTTTTTGTATTACCAAACAAGTCTGAACACTGAACTTTTGATGTGAATGCTTTTTTTATTAGTTTAATAGCTTGATTCTTCCCACTCTTAACGATTAAAATGCTTTCAGAGTTTTCCTCCAAAAATATTTTTGTTTTTGTATTCTAGACACAAAGATGACTTCTCTTGTTTTTGACCCTAGATATGAACTGATGGTTTCAGATCTGGCATTTTGTATGTTTTTTGGTAAAACAAAAGAAGAAATTGTAAATGAAAATGGTGTTTGTGCCTTATTTTAATCACTGATTTTATAGCAATCACAATATCTGTTTTTACTGTATCTCCCATCAGTTTTGAGTAGCTCAACACAAGAGCAGGTCGGTTGTTGGACAATGCAGATATTTTATGTGAATGAATCAGTATTGATTCACAGTAAAACTTCCTACGTTTACTGCTTAAACCAGTGGTTCTCAACCTTCCTAATGCCACAATCCCTTAATATGCTTCCTCATGTTATGGTGACCCCCAACCATAAAATTAGCATGAATAGTAATGTAATCTGATATACAGGATGTATTTTCATTCAATGGACCAAATTTGGCACAAATACCCAATACATCCAAATTTGAATACTGGTGGGATTGGGGGAGGGTATTGATTTTGTCCTGTGGGAGTTGTAGTTGCTGGGATTTATAGTTCACCTACAATCAAAGAGCATTCTGAACCCTACCAACGATTGAATTGGGGCAAACTTCCCACACAGAACCCCATGACCAACAGAAAATACTGGGTTTTCTGGTGGTCTTTGGTGACCCCTCTGACACCCCCTCGCGACCCCACCAGGGGTCCCAATCCCCAGGTTGAGAAACACTGTGCTAGAGGGAAGAAGTGTTTTACTTTGAAGGAAGGGTAAGTTTGTAAGTTGTAAGTGCTGGAATTTATAGTTCACCTACAATCAAAGGAATGAATTTTCAATATGCCCAAATGTAAACACTGGCAGAGTTTGGGGAAAATAGACCTTGACATTTGAGAGTTGTAAGTGCTGGGATTTATAGTTCACCTACAATCAAAGGCACAAAGTCTCAATATGCCCAAATGTAAACACTGGTGGGGTGCTTACTTACAAAGCCCTAAACGGTTTGGGACCCACCTACCTGCGTGACCGCATCTCTGTGTATGAACCCACACAATCTCTTCGTTCATCTGGAGAGGCCCTGCTTACGATCCCACCGGCGTCGCAAGCGCAATTGGTGGGGACGAGGGATAGGGCTTTCTCGGTGGTGGCCCCTCGACTCTGGACCAGGATATCTGCATGCCCATCCCCCTCCAAACACCCCACCTTGTCATGCCCAGCACTTTTAATTTTAATTTTAATTATTACACTTGGCCCGGCCATTGTTTTTAATTGCGTCATTGGGTGTTGTTAATGTTATTGCTTTGTTTTTTGAGTTATTGTATTGTTGTTGCTTGTTTTTATTGTTGTATTTGGGCTTGGCCTCTTGTAAGCCGCACCGAGTCCTTCGGGAGATGGTAGCGGGGTACAAATAAACTATAAATGATAGAATTGAACCAAATGTCCCACACAGAACCCCCATGACCAACAGAAAATACTGTGTTTTCTGATGGTCTTTGGCAACCCCTCTGACACCCCCTCGTGACCCCTCCCCAGGGGTCTCCACCCCCAGGTTGAGAAACACTGGCTTAAACCTACTATTATCTTAGTTTTCAGTCTTTTTGAAATGTTTGTATTGTCATTCAACAATATCCGAATGAAGAACTTTGGAGCCTTGAAAGCTTATTCATTTATATTTCTCCTTGTTGTGAGGGGTGTCAGTGCAAGTTGTAAAAGCATATTGAAGCTTGTCACATGTTTTATAACTAAGACACGATGATGGATTAGTTTAGCATAGAAATTGAATTTATTTATTTATTTGCTACATTTGTATACTGCCCCTCTCAGCCCGTAGGCGACTCGAGGCGGTTCACAAGGCAACAATTCAATGCCAACAACATCATAAAAACATTAAAACATTAAAAAGCATTAACACATCAATTAAAACCTTGACAGTAGTAAAAACAATCATTTTGGTCTCCTAGATAAAAAACATCTTTCAGCATAATGGGACATTTGTTCATAAGTAACCTATTGTCTATTTTCACTGAGATTAATACTTAAGTCTCTTAAATGCTATATGCCTCAGGTCTTTAATGTCGTACCTCTGTCTTCGCCTAATCTACCAGTTTTACATTAAAAAGTAAACTCAATAAAACCTAATAGTTTGTAGAACACAGAAATAGTGGAAGGTCTTTATGCGGTTGGCAAAACAGCCTAGTCAGAATGAAATTGCAGTTTGAGGTGAGTAGTGGTAACTTGGAAGTAAATAACTGAAAGTAAGCTTTCATAATGGAAGATCACCTGTTCTCTCCTAGATTACGGCACCCTCCTCTGCTACTATGTGGGCAGTGTTGCCCAACCTCTAGTCCATGGACCACCAGTGGTATGCAAGAACTGAAATATGATCTGTGACCTCATCGTTGCTACAGTGTTGGAACAAAACCCTCTTATAGGGTTTAAATACTAGCCGCCCCCTCCCCTGCGTTGCTGTGGCCCACATGGGGGTTCTGTGTGGGAGGTTTGGCCCAATGCTATTCGTTGGTGGGGTTCAGAATGCTCTGTGATTGTAGGTGAACTATAAATCCCAGCAACTACAACTCCCAAATGTCAAGATTCTATTTTCCCCAAACTCCACCAGTGTTCACATTTGGGCATATTGAGTATTCTTGTAGAGTTTGGTCCAGATCCATCATTGTTTGAGTCCACAGTGATCTCTGGATGTAGGTGAACTACAACTCCAAAACCAAAGGACACTGCCCACCAAACCCAGTATTTTCTGTTGGTCATGGGAGAACTGTGTGCCAAGTTTGGTTCAATTCCATCGTTGGTGGGGTTCAGAATGCTCTTTGATTGTAGGTGAACTATAAATCCCAGCAACTACAACTCCCAAATGTCAACATCATTTTTTTTTTAATGAAGGGCCTACATTGGGTTGTTAGGATAGATGCTTTTGAACTGTGGTGTTGGAGGAAAGTTCTGAGACTGCCTTGGACCGCCAGAAGATCCAAGCAGTCCATACTTCAGGAAATAAAGCCTGACTGGTCAATGGAGGGAAGGAGATTAAAGGCAAAGATGAAGTACTTTGGCCACATCATGAGAAGACAGGAAAGCTTAGAGAAGACAATGATGCTGGGGAAAATGGAAGAGGGGCCAACCAAGGCCAAGATGGATGGATGGGATCCTTGAAGTGACTGGATTGACCTTGAAGGAGCTGGGGGTGGTGACGGCTGACAGGGAGCTCTGGCGTGGGCTGGTCCATGAGGTCATGAAGAGTCGGAAACGACTGAACGAATGAGCAACAACATGCTATCCAAAACTGAGATAAATAGATAGATAGATAGATAGATAGATAGGGAGAGCAAGAGAGAGAGAGAGGCTGAAATTACACTTAAAAATTTACTTGTTCCGACTTCCATACAAATTCAACTTAAGAACAAACTTACAGTACCTATCTTGTTCATAACTTGGGGTCTGCCTGTAGTGGCCAGTGCATGATTGATAGCTGTTTTTGCCTGCCCATATTTAAATTTTCCTACCCATATTTCTAATATTGCTAGACCGTACATTGGCAACCAGCATGCAACTACTACTACTGCTATTATTGATAATATGGCCTTAATATAATTGTTTGTGCCAACTTGCAATCAGCAAACATATGTTCAATAAACATTTCCTTGGGAATCAATTCATCATTAGCAAGCCGCTCAGGGAGACGTTTTGCCTTGAAAATAGGGTATAAACACTTTAAATGTTGGGAATAGCAACATTTAGAGGATTACAATAATGATCGGGATGAACAATGAAATGTGAACAATTTCAAAATTTCAATCAGATTGTATTTACAAAATATCCGTAGCAATGAGCCATAACAGGTTTTTTTTATTTTTATTTTTAACTAGCTGTACCCATCACACGTTGCTGTGGCCAACCTTCCCTCCCTTTTTCTCTCCTTTCTTTCCTCCTCCCTTCCCTCTTTTTCTTTCCCTCTTCTTCCTTCCTTCTCTACCTGTTTCTTTCTCCTTTCCTTTGCTCTTTGGTTCCATCCTTCCTTGTCTCTTTCCTTCCCTCCTTCCCTCTCTTCTTTCTTCCTCTCTTCCTTCCCTCTTTCACTTTTTTATTTCGTTCTCTCCCTCCTTCTCTCCTTCCTTCCTTCTCTACCCTTCTTTCTTTCCTTCTTTCTCTCCTTCCCTCCTTCTTTCCCTCTTTCTCTCCCTCCTTCTCTCCTTCCTTCCTTCTCTACCCTTCTTTCTTTTTATCTCCTTCCCTCCTTCCTTTCTTCCTTCCTTCTCTACCCTTTTTTCTTTCCTTCCTTCTCTCCCTCCTTCTCTCCTTCCTTCCGTCTCTACCCTTCTTTCTTTCCTTCTTTCTCTCCTTCCCTCCTTCTTTCCCTATCTCTCCCTCCTTCTCTCCTTCCTTTCTTCTCTTTCTTTCTTTCCTTCTCTTTTTTCTCCCCCTTCCTTCCTTCCTTCTCTACCCTTCTTCCTTTTTATCTCCTTCCTCCTTCTTTCCTTCTTCTTTTCTCTCCCTCCTTCTTCTCCTTCCTTCTCTACCCCTTTCTTTCCTTCTTCCTTCCCTCCTTCTTTCCTTCTTTCTCTCCCTCCTTCTCTCCTTCCTTCCTTCTCTACCTTTTTCTTTCCTTCTCTGATTCTTTCTCCTCCCTCTCTCCTTCCTTCCTTCTCTACCCTTTTTTCTTTCCTTCCTTCTCTCCTTCCTCTTTCTTTCCCTTTCTCTCCTCCTTTCTTCTCTTTCTTTCTTTCCTTCTCTCCTTTTTTCTCCCCCTCTCCTTCCTTCCTTCTCTACCCTTCTCTCCTTTTTTTCCTTCCTCTTCCTTCTCTCCTTCTTCTCTCCCTCCTTCTCTCCTTCTTTCCTCTCCCCCTCTTTCTTTCCTTCTTTTCTCTCCTTCCCTCCTTCTTTCCCTCTTTCTCTCCCCTCCTTCTCTCCTTCCTTCCTTCTCTTCCTTCTTTCTTCCTTCTCTCCTTCTTTCTCCTCCCTCTCTCCTTACTTCTCTACCCTTTTTTCTTTCCTTCCTTCTCTCCTTCCCTCTTTCTCCCCCTCCTTCTCTCCTTCCTTCCTTCTCTATCCTTCTTTTTTCCTTCCTTCTCTCCTTCCCGCCTTTCCCTTCTTCTCTCCCTCCTTCCTTCTCTACCCTTCTTTCTTTCCTT